TAATACTGTATAAGTAGTATTGTGTAATTAACTCGAACCATTATGTATTTAACTCGAATCATTATGTACTTACCTCAAATTTTGCTACAATAAGCTCTGTTCTTAACTATGGGTCGTCCGTAAACCGGGCATTCACGGCAAACCTGGCTTACCTCTTTTCCAAGAAATCCACAGTACAGGCACCTCTGAGAGCAGACACTGGGACCCTGACAGTCACATACCTTCTGTTGCAGTGCTGGCTTCCCTTTTCTTCTCGTATAGGTGTGTTCATTACTCTATAGTATTCTATGATGTATTTCTACTACATTATTATATTATCTATTCATTATTCTATACCTTGGGACCAATGAGGCCTTCCTTCCCAGGGATTCCTGGTGTTCCAGGCAGGCCAACGTCTCCCTAGGAAAACAAAGCAGAAGGTACAGGCTGTTCTGTCCAAATATATGGCCTCCTCCACTGACCCACAGGGAGACACTTGAGACACTTACATTATCACCTTTCCTTCCAGGGAGCCCCATTCGGCCCTGTAACCCTGGCTCTCCCTAGAACAGAGGGGAAAGATGTTTTAGCTGGAAAAGGCAAGGCAAAAGAAAATACAGGCTTACGCTCTCTTCAGTGAGGATCTTCACTATGATAAAGATTCCCCAAGTTGTTAATTCATCTATCACATAAAGGATGCTGCATATGCACAAACAGTATTTTGAAAATGTCCAGAATTCTAGAGAGCCTTTCAGCCCCTGCCCTCGGGAAGGAAAGCCTTGTACCCCGAGGGTAGGGGGTCAAGTGGAAGAAGAAACCTCTTTCTTTCTGTTCCTTTTTTACTGTTGATTTCAATTCTCTCCTCAGAGGGCTCTATATTTTCAAATTCCATCTTCCATTCCTTTTTTTTTTTTTTTTTACAATATCCCAAATTATCATTATACACCTTAAAAGCAAACAAAAATTATCTTCCTTCTCAAAAAGCAGGGGGGGCCAGGATAGCATACAATATAGCCAACATCCCTGCCCCAATTTATCTACAGAAGCAGAGGCACTCCCATTTTGACCACAAACCAGGAACAAAAATAAGAGGAGTTAAACTCCCACCTTGCCTCTCGCTGTTTCATAATTTGAAGCACATTTCTGCCAGCCTCACTCATTAGCACAGGTTGGGTAGAATGGTGGATCAAAAAAGAGGTAAGGTGAAATAAAGGGTAGATGGTTCAAATTCCTTCATTTGGTCTCTACTTTTGAGATTAAATTAGATACTTTAAATATGTGATCGGGAGAGTCATGTGAACAACAGTGGCAGCTCCATTATATCAGTGTGGCCAAAAACCCAGGAACTGAATTCTCTTCCCAACACTCATATTCACTGATATATAAGTGCATCATAATTTCCTTACTCAGATGAACAAACATGGCAGTGTTTATGAGCCACTTCATATATTTATCAGACTCAACATGAGCATATCATTTATGCCAGCTCATAAAAATGATTCCAAGGTCAATATATAACTGCAGCTTCATGTATTCCCAGAATACTTCCATGGCACACATTAGCTGGTGTACACTAGATGCAATGATAGTCAGCAATTTTCCATAGAGTGCACTCCTGGAAAAATAATCACTCTAGAGATCTTCATACCAGTCTATTCTTACATTAACAAATTTTCTTTGCAAAGTGGCCCTAAATAATTTTTTGCATCTCAAGCATCCAGGATATATTCAAGCAAGGATGCACTTCTTTTCTAAACCCCTGCTACTGGTGGCTTCTTTCATCAGGGAAGAAGGTGTAGGAACCATTGTGCTTGGTATAAAAAGTTTGCTCCTTCTCCTTAATGTCTGTAAAAGTATTTTCCTTCTTCCCCAAGGAATCTTTTTAGTTAAATGGGTGCACCAGCATGTCTCATAATGCAAAGAAATCAAAGAGGAAATCTGGCAATCACCTTCTCACCCTTATCTCCATCTTGGCCACAGGCTCCTTTCATTCCTCGATCACCCTATTACAGAAATAAAATAAATACCACAAATAAACATAACATTTATATACTTTTGATGCACATCTCCAATTAGTGATTGTACATATTTTTAGTAGGAACTTAGAATATTTTTTTCTAAAAACAAGAAGAGAGGAAAAGCAAATAAACAAACAAACAAAGAACTCCTACCAAACATAATACAAGCAACATTAAGGAGGCAAAAAATCCTAACATGGTTTATTGATAAATCACACTTGGAAATCCCAAAGAAACCAGTACGATAAAGGACTGATGAAAGATCTGAACCTCTGATCCAAGGCCTTATCTCCTGTGAAATATGATGCAAACTGGTGTGCAGAGGTCTGACTTTCTTGAAGGTAAAAGGACTAAGCTGCTCTTTTTGCAGCTAAATCTAGTAGTCGCTTTTGTGTAGCTTCTGACTCCATCATGCAGCTAGCTCTTTTCTCAGCTAATGGGATCTGCTCCTTTGACACCTTCCCTGTACCAGCTTCACACTGCTTTGTGACAGAGATCAGCTTCATCCCACCTGGAGAGAATCTCCTAAACTTACAAGAAGATAAAGAAAAATAACCATGGTAGACCACACCTTTGGACCTCGTATTCCAATAGGTCCCATGTCTCCTTTCTCCCCTCTGGTTCCAGGAATACCATCCTTCCCAGGTTGGCCCTGGAGAAATAAAGATGAAGGTAATGTGATTCTCTGACTTGGAAGTGCACAACTATGGGCAGAGACAGAAACACATAAAAAGTGCTCACCGGCTCTCCTGGTTCTCCTGACTCACCAATTTCTCCCTGTGTAAAGGCAAACGGCCAGTATATAGATATCAGGTAGGAAGATGGAACAGTCTAGTAGATGTGCAATCATAAATGAAGAAATAATCTCTTACCTTTTGCCCACTGGGCCCTCGTGCACCAGGGAAGCCTGTGGATCCCTTCTCACCTTGCTCACCCTTTACTCCCTATGAGTTAAAATTGCAGATTACAGACAAACATGAGTGACAGGGTAAGAGAGAGAAAAAAACACCAATTCCTGGGCTCAAGAACAAAGCAAGTATCCAAAGTTATTCCATGCTGTAAACAGAGTTCATCCCTTTCATATAAAACCTGGCATCATGCTTTCAATGGATTCCCTATTAACTTGTGCTCCTGTATGCCAGTAAGTTCCTGTCTTGAGAGATGGATGCTGCACAAGATACACCTAAACAAATATAGAGACTGCCTTTTTTTCAGTGGTGATCTACACATATTCATATAGATTAATAAATATTGGGCAACATGCAGAGTTTCATAACTCAGAAATACAGCGAGCGAACAGAAAACTCCTGCAGCAGCAGCAGCAGCAGCAGCAGGAGAACTGTCAGGAGCTACATCTTCAGGCATGGCCAGGGGTGGGTGTGGGACTTTGAAAAGGCCTAAGGTGGCAATGTTGCCCTGTGACCATGCCCCTCCCCACCCCATGAATCAGAGTCACAAAATTCAGCTAAGACCTCTGCAACCTGCAGGATGAAAAGGTGCAGTATGGAATGCTTACAGTGATGCACAGAGCTACAATGCCACTGACCTTACCCACCTTCCTTTACTCTTAAGTAATCTTCTGCACTATTACACGGGTGGATACTGGCTCCTTTAGCCTCAGTAGAGTACGCAGGATTTTTTAAAGAAGAATTTTAGCACTTTTGCAGAGTCAACACCTCACTTTATCTATGTGGAATATAGCAAAACATGGGTCCTTGCCTGCTTTGCTACCTGCCTTAGACACAATCCAAATTCCTTGCCTATAAGTGGTAAATGCAGCCCAAAGATTTGGCCTAGTACCTTCTCTCCAATGATTCCATGATCTCCTTTGTCACCCTTCTGCCCTTCCATGCCTTTTAGACCACGTTCTCCCTAGAAAAGAGCAAGAGAAAAAATATCCTGTTTGAATCATTGGCAACAAAATAAAAAACAAATGTAAAAGTGCTATGATAGAGCAATTAGATAGATCTTTAAGAAAAGGGAACTTTAAAAAAAAAATGAGTGGCAGAGATTTAACAACAACAGAAAATAGAGGTTTTCTGTGTGCTGTATCACATACTGGTTCTCCTTTATTCCCTCGAAGACCTTGTGGGCCTTCCACAATGACCGTATCTCCCTGTAAATGAAAGAATATGGCAGGCAATCAAGGATCTAAACATTCCAATTGTTCAGTTTCCACTTCTACTGTAAACAAATACCATTTTTCTGTAATACAAATACCAACTATTCCATAATAAACTATTTTCTTTGGAACATGCAAAAGCCAACCCATAAATCATTTCTGATAGAAGCAAACAGTTGCCTCACAGCTAGGAAATTATCAGGGATTCAGATCAGAATTTCTGCTAGTCCTACCTGGAGATCCCCAGGACTGAACCTTGTACCCTTTGCCTGCAAAATTTGTGCATGGTTGACTTTGAATGCCCTTCTCCCTTCAAATAATGCAAATTGGTAAAAGCAGATACTTGGAGATTTCTTAGGTGAATGACATCATATCTTCTTTCTCAAGGCCAGGCTTACGTGTGTCAGATGGAAATACTCTGTTTGCTGTAGCTTTGTCAGTAGGTGTGTATTGATGCTGCCTTGCTCTGAAGAGTTTGTTCATTCATTTGTGTATTTTCTAAGGCTGCCTACTTGCCAAGCAAGTTTATTTTGGAATGGCCCAGGTATCACCAACTGATGCAACCTAATCTTTTCAAATTTAAAATGCTTACTTTGTCTCCTTTCAGCCCCATGAGCCCAGCATCACCCTAAGAGAAAAGGAAGCGTAGATTATAAATGAATGTACATAGTTCACGATTGTCAATGATCTAGCATTCTTCTCTCAGATCAGCTGGATTATAAATATATAGATGGTTAATATTATAGCTAATAATTATAATGCATGGCACTTCACAGCAGAAACTAAAACAATAAGCCCTTGCCAAAGTCCAGGAATTTACAGACACTGGCAGGGATATTTTGAAAACTCATACAATTTGATTGTGGCCTGGGTGCTTGCTTAAAAAACAGCCAATTTATAATCAGGATTAGATAAGCAATGTAAGAGAAAGGGAACACTGTAATTATGCATATTTGAGGGGCTGGTTCTTAGCCTGTCCAAAAGGTGTTTCCTTTTGATGTGGTTCAAATTTGCAGCGTAACAGTTGCTTGGCGTGGCAGAGTTCAACAGAAAATGCCAGAAGTTCAGTTGCTTTTCTTCACTCATTCTAAAGCTGGAACTATATTATTAAAAGTATTTTATTTTTCAGGATTAGAAATAGAAAAGGGCAGGAAGATTCTATTCCTCCTAACAACTCCACCATTCTTACTTACTTTGTCACCTCTCTCCCCTCTGTTTCCAGGAGGGCCCTAAAGACAAAACAGAATGCTTAAATGCAAAATGCTTATGCTTAGGACTGAACAAACAGAGGAAAGGAGATGAGTGAGATATTTATTTATTTATTTATTTATTTATTTAATTAATTAATTAATTAATTT